CAGAGTCTTACGTGTGATGCCAGCGAGTGCTCTGCCGAAGGGAAGGAATCGGATAGCCAAAGCCACTTTTCCCCTTGAGTTAGACGGGGATTCTCTGCAAACTTCAAGGATGGAGGAAATGCCTCGTCCCCTTATATCGTCACACGCAAGAGGGGCATATGCAAACAAGGCCGAAGAGTGAGGACAAAGGAAGTGTGCCTTAGACACATGCCATCTCGATTGGTGATGGCGACATCCAAGGGGCGAATTAGACTCGAGGTACGCTCACCTTATCCTTTTCTTGCGGGCTTTTAAGGTGCTCAGTTTCGTCTCCCTTGTCTTTGACGGAGTCCACTCGACAATTGTTCAAGCGTCATCGTCGATGGCGTCTTGTCCGGCGTACGTTTTCCACCGCCTTCTGCCCCTCAGCTCAGGACAGGATAATGCTGGATTTGTTGTGCCAAGCGAGTCAAGCCGGGAGCCAGAGGGCATGCAAGAACGTGATATATTTTAGTCATAATCCCAGGTGCATGTCCGAGCAATTGGTGTGGCATGATGGTAGCGGGCTCTGGTGGTCCTGTAGGTGGCCACCGGAAGGAAAATTTCATCTGCACGTGGACGAGTTCGTCGATGATTTGCCCGTTGAGATGGTCCATATCTCTATTGGGTATCCATGTTGGTTCTCCAACTGGAGTCTTGATTTCATCCTAGACACTTGTCATGGCTCGTTGCCAATCGACGTGTTTGCACGGGTACAGACCAGTGGTAGAAGGGACGACATCCAGAAACGGGGTTCTAGCAATCAGTAAAACAACTGCCACTGTCAAGTAGCCCATTCTATTTTCGTTCCTGACCTGCCAAAAAGCTCTCACCGGCTGGTGTCGGCAAAATCAATGGAGAAGGACTGCCTTCCCGGGTTATCCATTGTACAAAGTATGATACAATTTGAGCTGATGATGAGACATGTTCATCAAGATTCAACGCTCTGGCCGGAGCCCTGTCTTTCCAATGGCATGGTATTATCCAATTCTTGCCTCAATGGTGCAATATCTTTCGTTCCTCGTGCTTCGGTGGCTTCTCTTGTCGCTGCATTCCGTTCTGCTTTGGCAGCTCGAAGTCGACTGCTCACACTGCTGATCCTACTCGTGAATCCAAGACTTCTTCGTGTTCCTGAAGGTCGAATGGCTACCTGACTCTCTGGGGTTGCTTCTATCGGACTAGATGCAGCCGCTGGGACAATCGTTATCCGACCCCAAGGCTCTTTGGGCGTCACAGGGGTCTGCTCTTGAGCACCCACGTTGCTCACATTCGAGGAAGGAGCAGCGTATTTGCGTCTCGGGACCAGATGCGTACTGATATGGGAAGGAAGCTGACTTCTGGTCACGTTGGTAGTTTCAAGCGCTGCAGGGACGGGATGTTGAGGCATGGGGTGCTGGGCGGTGTATTCTCTCGAGTACGCTGCTCGATCTCTTGCCAATTGGCGATACGTGCTCACTTCGGTCATAGCTCGGCTCACTGGTCTGACTGAAGGACTACTTTCCTCGTCGTCCGTGGTGCCATCCATATTGTACCCAGGAGTTCGCCTGCTACGCACCAAGGTAGTAGAAGTTCGTCCTAGCCGTGCCGACGAAGAGCTAGATATCTGGGGCAAGGCTGTAGGAGGTGTTTGATACGTGTTCTCGGGTGACGTTGGCTGCGGGTTCAACCCGGCCCCGAGCGGTGCGCTGGTTCGTCGGGTCTCTAGGCGGGATTGGACTCGCGACGCGACTGGAGGTCGATCGTTAGGCTCATTGCTGTATCGACGACTCCGTAGTCCTGCAGATGCCGGCTGGAATGCATCGCGACTACCGGGTCTCGTTACAGGCTGAGGAGGCTGTTTGTGGTCTGCTAGGATTGCTATGGCCAGCTCCGTCAGGCTTCTGCACATGCTTTCCGTTCGTCGACGTATCTGACGTTCCGAGACCGACGATATCCCAAGGGTACTGGCCGCGCCGCTATGCCCCTCTGGGTTCATCATCATGGACAATTGCAAAGCATCCTGAGCCGTTGCTTGTAGCTTCTGATAAACGTCGTTACTGAGGGCAGCTTTGGCATTACCAAGTGCCTCATGGAGATTCGGGTGGATGTTAGACGGAATCCCTTCGATCGCGGATTGCAATTGGGCCACTGCCGGTTTATGTTTTGGAGAGGACGACATGGTCGTCGCCGCCGTTGTGGCGGTCTTTGGTCTCTCTGACGTCGTCATTGCCGCAGCCGAGGACGGCGGGAGCTTCCCTGTAAGCTCCAGCTTTCTAATCCTCGATTTGAGGTCATCTAGCTCGTCCCAAACCGTCGAAGGAGCAGTTGTGGAGATCGTTGACTCGGTGGCATTGTGATCGGGTACGCGGGGGCGATCCAGAAAGCCAGACTCCGAGACTAAGCGGCCGCTGTTTCGAGCGGTGCTAGGGCGTGAAAACGTACGTATCGGTTCGGTATTGGTGTTAGTGTTCGAATTTGCAGTGGAATATCGTCTCGATGTGGCCCTTCGAGGCAAATCCGCGGGATGAGAGCTCTGCGCGTCAAGAGCCCCATCTCGCACCGATCCTTCCTGGGCATACGTCCGCGAAAGTGCACCCGGCACATGTTGCCCGAGGGAAGATCGCTTGCTGTAGTAATTCAGTGCCTCTGATCGGCCGGCCACGCTCGAAGTGTCAAATCTCTCCTGTATGGGAGAAGATTTATAGCCGGTGGAAGGCCGGGTACTTGAGAAGAAAGGAAGTGAAACCCTCGACCGTCTCTTGTCAAGTTTAGATTGCACTTGAACCCCTCGAGGCGCGTCGGTCCTTGCAATATTCAAGAACAGATCTTCGCTTTTCTTCTCATCGCTACTCGAACCTTTGCTGTCATCGTCTAAACTTATGGGTTTCAGTAGTCTCGGTTCCGAGTTCTCCGTTTCTTGCAGATTGGTTAGGTTCACAGCGGCAGCTTGTTCTTTACTCATGGTAGAGTTGGGAGTAAGCACACTTTCTGTATCTGCGGTCTCTGGGCTAGATGCTTCTACAGTGGTGGCCTCGTCGGTCGAAGACTCGGTCGTCGACGGGGTCTGGTTTGGCTTCACGGGCGACGCTTGCGCTGGACTAGACTCGGCGGCTGAGGGAAGTTCATTGGCCTTGGAAGGGGACAAATCGCGCGTTGTGTCGTTTGTAGATCTCGTGGACGGATTTCGATCCAGTCGGATGCGGTCTTGCGATAGCGTTCGTTGAGTGCTGTAAGACGGAGGAGGGCCACAGATGGTCTCGACGCCGTAGCTGCTATGTGAGGCAGGAGGTCTCTTTTGCGAAGGGGATCGTTGGAGCGTGTGGGAGTTTGTTCGATGTAAAGGGGTGGAGGGCTGGCTGATTCCAGAGGACGAAGAGGGTCGGTTGTCGTTCGGATCGGGGTCGAGGGAGATGTTGAACGAGGGAACACTCAGGGTTTTTGAGATGCCTCCTGGCTTGCGCATTCCAGAGGGCGGCTGTGGCACGGATGCTGAATTAGAATCGAGGGCATTGGAGGATAGTTTGGGTTTCTTGCGGAGCGGAGGTCGAGAAAACGTCAAGTCATGGTTGGCGTCTGCAATGCGGGCCGGATAGAAATGGGGATAGGGAGAGCGCGGTGGGAACACGGCTGCGGTGCGAGCATCAAGACCATGGCGTGTGCCCGGGGCATCTAGAGTACAATATGGCAGAGAACGACGATGCTGATGCTGATGCTGATGGGGAGGAAACGTCGAGATCTGGGGTGGGAGTGAAGATGAGGGTGAAGGTGAGGTTGAGGGTTTGGTGGTCGTGGTCGTGGTGAGCGTGTCATCCATGTGCTCTGGCAGAGGCTCATTTGATCCATGGATCATCCAATCCTTGCTAGCCCCGTCTCGCTTGTGGATGGTGAAATCCCCTACATCGGCACCTTCAGCACTTGTTTCTCTTTGTCCATTTCACCAGAGGGCACGGAATCTCCATGCCATGGGAAAGAGAGAAGCTTGCAGTTTTTTCTACGGGATAGCTACTTCTTAATCTATGGGGGAGGGAGGAGTCTGGCCCGTGAGCTTGCAAGCCTGCGTGAGCTGCCTCCCTCTCGCTCGTCTAGGCTTGTCCCCCAGCAACTAGCACGCGTCGGAAGATTTGTGATGGAAGTGTGACATCTCAGAAGAGTTGCTGCGCTTGGTGCTGTGCTCTGTAGTGGCCTGCTGGTGCTGCTGCGCGAGCGTCGCGTCTTTGTTGTGCGGGAAAGGGGCACGGACTGCGCTGGCCATGATTCGACCCGCTAAATCCTTGTCCAGGCCTGATCTCCCGGTCCAACGGGCACTAAAGCTTCGGGCACAGGCGCCATTACCAGTTAAAGCCAAGCGCCTGAGACCGACCCTCCAGGCTTGGGAGTCCGAGGCTTGCCCCCAAGAGGCCCAAACAACCCCCTATTGATTGTGTCTCCGCTCTTCGCTCTTTGTTGCACGATCCAAACTCATCACATCTCCAGAGTTGGCACTCACTGATTCCCCGTCGGCACAATCCCATTGATCCCTTGTCAAGAGTCTCATACAATAAGACTCATATGTTACTGTTCCCTGCTCATGCACTCTGATCAGCAGTTCATCAAAACCTGCCTTGCCGTAAGCAACATTCACTCTCCGTTCTTGCTCGGTTGGGCTTCGGATATGCGGGCTCTTCAGCGAGGAACTAATGCAAGGAACGAAAGTCACCCCCATGCAATTGCCCCTCCTTGTCGCCACTCAGCCGATCCTTTCGGTTTCGTCGTGAAGTGGACGAGGTATTGTGGAAAGAGAACTGCACCGAGAGAAATACTCTGAGAATCGGCTGGCGATGCAAAAATGGCAGAAGGCTGCGCAGCGCCATGACCAAATAGGACGTCGAGAGCCATTCTCAGATTGCGCAGTGAGTCACTCGCAGCTGCCTAGTGGGCGCATTTGATCCGAAGAGAGAAAAAGGAAAAAGTCCTCCTGCTCTCTATGCTTTTCCTTCTCCGACGAGACATCGTTATGATCAAGGATGACTACTAGACGGACGCGTATTGTTTGTATATCTGATACTCACAATCAGACTCCCCACCTGCCGGCTGGACACGTTCTTATCCACGCTGGAGACCTCACTAACCAAGGCACCTATTCAGAGCTTCAGAAGACGGTTGATTGGATTAAGAAAGCCCAGTTTCAGATCAAAATCGTCGTCTGTGGGAATCACGATGTCACTTGCGATGTTCCATTCTATCAAATGTACGGAGGCTACTTCCACAATAAGAGAAGGGAAGATCCCCAACGCTGCCTCGACTTGCTCCGATCCGACCCTTCGCTTGTTTTCCTCAACCACGAGGCCACGCAGGTTCGCATCAATCACGGAGACGGTCTTGTGTCCTTGCTCAAGATCTTTGGATCCCCATACTCGCCAGCACATGGCTTTTGGGCATTCGGCTACTCCCCAGAAACTGCCCCTCAATTATGGGATCAGATCCCTCTGGACTCAGATGTCGTGGTAACGCACACGCCCGCCAAGTTCCACTGCGATGAATGTGGGAACCGCGGCACGGCAGGATGCGAGATCCTCCGCGAGGCTTTGTGGAGAGTTCGACCCAGATTGTTTGTATGTGGGCACATTCACGAGGCCTATGGTGTCGAGGCCGTTACATGGGACCTATCCTCTCCCAATCTCAGATACAAAGAACGGAGCGTCCGAAGGTGGGCGGACCCAGACCCGAGTTCTAAGAAGCAGTTCACCGTGGATCTATCATCGAGAGCCAAGTCGCTAGCTTTGCGCAATGACGGAAGCATTGGCAATCTGATCCCATCAACACAACTCTCAAGACTTCGGGGCGTGGGAGTCGATGGCACTGCTGATGATGCCAGCACAGATCAGCAAGACAGATCCGGATCGCTCCCAAATGTCCCATCTCCCCCAACACCTCCCTTTCCTGACTTCGGAAAGGCACAGAGACCCGCCCCTTCTACGATCCACTCTTCGAACGTCAAACATCTCGGCACCACCGGTCAAGGTGGTCCAGCATCAAGCTCTAGGTCTGACCAAGAGGCCATTTCCGGTCGAGAAGGAAGGGTGGAAACCTGTATGGTCAACGCAGCTTACATGGGGTCGAATTGGCCTCATAGAGGTGGCAAGAAGTTTCACAAGCCGGTCGTGATTGACCTAGATTTACCCATTGTGGACGTGAAAGAGATTGACTCAAAAGGCGCAAGATGAAGTGGATTAGTCCGGATTCTGATTCCGTGACAGCTCCTGACGTGGCCGAATCATGCGCGCTAAGCTATCATCTTGAGCGCCTACCAATGGCTATGGAGCGAATGACAATGTTCTTCAGCTTGTGATTAAGGTATACTGGTCCCATTTCAAAGAGGACAAGTTGACATTGTTCGGGACGCGCGAGCTCTTCAAACGGAGGCCTTTCATCATTGTGACCAGTTGAGGATTCGGAGGAGAAGGGATCGGGGCCCCTTTCTCTCGACAATGACAGCAGCGCCTCCGCGAACAGTATTGAAGATCGACAGCATGATCTGCCTCAGGCACAGTCTTACTATCAGCAAGAGGCCTACCAAGTCAGGCCAGCGATGTTGCATCACATTTCTACCTTTGGAGATAGATGAACTGTATCACTCACGAGAAAGGAAGGACCTTGAGGCCCTTTTGGCTCCTGCGACCCCATGAATCTTGCCACGGTAATAGCGAGGATGCCATTCCTGGTGCGCAACAATTGCCACCGCATCCTTTCTCAGTCATCATCTCACCTCTCGCAAACTCGATTCCGGATCATGGCAAAATCATCGCGGAGATTGCCCACTCTCTACCGTACTCGCTATCAACTCTAAGGTTTGTCGATGTGGCATTGCTGAGTGCTGCATGAGTAAAAATCTAGGGGAGCGGATGTTGCATTCACCTCGATAGTCGCATCGAAACAGCGCTAGGCGGGGGGGTTTGAGATCGCACAGAGGCGCAGAATCAAAGGAATCGAAGTTGCATGGAGCTTGGAGACAAAACCATTTATATTCATTGATCGCAAAGAGAACAGTATCAAGGAATGAACACCGCATCCATCATCCGTGACCCACTGTCCGCGGTGTGAGAAAAGTTCGGTCCGTAATCCAACGCAAACCGACATTGCTTGACCTTGTGGCACGACCAGCAAAAAGCCATAGGTCACCCTGTTGTATCCGAATATCATATAACAATCCACCCGGCATAGAGGGGATCGATCTGGCTCCAGGCACGGAGGGTGGAGTTCCTTTCCCTGCGATCTCCCCTTTGCTGGTCTGATGGCGACGTACTGGATCCAGCATCTGCGCGTCTGCGGCCGTTTCGAGAAGAAGGCAGGAGCGCGGGCGACGGCGAGGAAGGAAACCATGGCATAGAGGAAAGCGGGATGTCTCTTGCATCCGCCATGTTAAAATCGGCTTCCACGCCGAGAGTCGAGGTGCTCCAGTTCATGTCCTTCGTATCCTCGAGCGGTAGCGGAGAGACTTGGTTCCCGTTCGTTTTGTTCTTGTTCTTTCTCCTTCCCGAGCAGCTGAAGCACATCACGTCTACCATTTTGCTCCAAAAGCCCTTTCCACCACGAAATCCCTGTCGGGATGCTGTGTCCGTGGCCCCTGTTTCCACTACTGTCGTCACCATCCTGACTCGTCACTCGTCTCTATTTGACCTTCTCTGGCCTCTTGAGAAAGACAAAACAATTCAAGTCCCCTAGAAGCCTGTGTACCACACGACCCCTACAGAACGTCCCTGAGGATAGGCGCTGAAGGCCCTTCCGAGACCGTCGAGTGCTTTGCGGCCCCAGCGACGCACTCGTCTCTCCTCTCTGATAGAATCACTCGGTGCCGAAGAAATCGAGGATGATCTTGTCGTTGAGGAACGGAAGAACTTGAGGGACTTTGTCGAGCTGGAAGATTGCGTGTCTGTCGACGCTTGGGTTGTCCTGCGTCGCGGTTGTGGTTGGGTTTGAGCTTGGACTTCTGAGCAAGTATGTGGTTGATGCTGGGATGGGAGGTGGGATGGGAAGGTGGACATGAATGTCATTCTCTTTGCGCTCTTGCGGCCCGTCGTACCAGGGCTCTGATATTGATGGTTGGTAGTCCTTGGAGGGAAGCTTGCAGTGGAATTCCGGAAGACGGATTCTGCAAGGAAGGGTGCTTGCATAGAAGCTCTTCAGATGGTGATATACATGAAGTGTTTCATCAAGTTTTGGAGTATCACTTGTTATTCAAATTCCCTTTTTGCCACGTAACCTGGAGTGAACACTGATGGACTGTGACCTAACAGATCAAGGATCGAAAGCGACAGGTGCCTCCTTAATACCTGGGAAAGAGTTCAGGTTGACAGCTGCCAGACTAGTGTGGTGATATGTCAGGCCTGACCGTCTCGGCCATACAACACACACGCTCACCTTGTGAGAAGATGATGGGACAACCAAGAACACAAATACAGTAGGAGTCGCAGATCCTCCCACCATACATCCTAAACACAGCACGAGAAGGAAGCGACACGCAAGTCCATTCATGGGGCGGGAATGTTCCACAGTAGTAGTTGTTGGCTCGATTGGGAAAGGGAGCGAATGCCTGGCGGGCTGATTAAGGAAATGACAAGGCGGATGAAGTAAGCGGCCGCCTGACGTGAGACCCAAGTTCAGCAGCACGCGAAATGCCCCATATCCTGATAGGACGGAGAAATCCTTTTGGATAGGGTTTCAGTCCCAAGACTGAGCAAACTTGGGGCCAGAACGCCCTGAGGTCGAAGGGTGGAACGAGATGAGCCCAGAGTGTAACACAATGCGTTGTTCGTAATCCCACAATTGCCATCAGCCATCAGAGGCGTGGACGAGATGATTTTCTTTAGACCAGAAAGAAACGTCCTGGGCCAAAGCTGCAGAGGTACTGAATAGGCCTTCTGGCTTTGACTAAACATTACTCCGTGTTCCAACACCAACTCCCTTCCATTCCATGTTCTGTTCTCGCTCGGAAAACGAATGTAGTAGCAGAGTATATAGATTCCACACAGCAGTTGAATATAATATGGACGCCTGATCGACCCCAAGTGAGAAATTCCTCCCTACATTGTCGTGAATGGTCAGGCCTCTCAAGAGGCCTCCTAATCCATGGAAGCAGAAGATCCGGTTATCACACCGTCGCCAATGTTGTTGAGACATGTGGCATCTATGGGGCCCTTAAGGGTCTACCTGGATTCCGAGGCAAACCTTGGGGATGTCGACTCCGATCGAATACCACGGTTTAAAAAGATCCGAACTTGCATTTTTCAATGAGCTTTCCACGGTCTGAGAAGAAGCCGGCTTGCTTGATGTGCGTAGGCTTCCCCGTCTTCTCATCGAATAGGTTGAAGCCAAAATTGGCCGCATGAGGCGGGGTATAGAGGTGGAGTGACACGGCCGGTTCGTCATTGGAAGGGTTGGATATCTTGTGCAAACCGATCTTGTCTGAGATGTAGGTGACTTCGTTTTCGTGGTAGATGGACTCTTTGACAATTTGTGGCGGGGTCAAGGCGCCGTTCGAATCCGTCTTCTCGGTCAAGCAGGGCGGGAGGGCGTACAGTGTTTCCTTGAGACTTCCTTTGAGGATCTTCATCACACAGTGGGCGTCTGCATGATCGTGTATCGGACTAGACCTTCCTGGATTCCAGACGATTATTAGTAAGTTGGATTTGCCGTTTCCTTCGTCCACGAGATTGCGAGTGTAGTTTCTGCTGAGGTCGGCAAAGGCGTAATGACGCCAGTGGCTTTGCTGGGAACTATATTGTTCCATGAGGCGTATCAAGTCATTTTCGTCCACATCGTCAGAGTTGATACCTGAGGAAGGCCCAAGGACGTCGGAGAGAGCTCGAACGAGGCGGTGGAACTCGTCACAGGGGTTGACCAGGCCGACTCGGTCGTAGTGGTGGGACGAATGGGCTGGTTCAGGCTTGAGGATGTAAGAATCAGCCGTGCTGGGTGGTTGCTGGTATGATAGCATATCGGATAATCGGTGGTGTCTGAAATGAGTAGAAGGGAAGGAGAGGAAGAGATACGGAGAGAAGAGAAAAAGATGATGGAAGGTAGACGAGGTTAAAAGCACGGTGAGAGGGACAATCGAGGCGGTGTGCCAATGAAGCTTCCCTTTCAGATAAGAATGTAGGCCTGCATGCTCAGGACTTGGTAGCGTGTAGGAATGCAGTAGATTCACGTATTTCTCTCCTTTCAGGTACTCGGCAGACTCAGCTGTCCTGTCTCATGACAGGGTGTCGGATGAATGAAAGCCATGATGAGGACGTAATAATATGGCGGGATCGACTCACAAACTCACGGGAATGGCCAAGTGTCTTCAAGACCAGTCCGGAGAGCCGCGCAGCCGGTTCAAACGCGAACCTGTGACCTCGTGTCCATCAATCCTTACCTGTTCAACAACGGTGACGGGCAAGAGCGGGTGATTCGGGCTCGTCGGAGAGCAAAGGATTAGTCCTGGAGGAGGATCGAGATTGGTGGGAGGCCCGCTCAGCAGTTTTGGAGTAGCGAGCCAAAGCTTAAACGAGAATGAGCGGTAGAGAATGCAGATAGCGCGACATGAGCTTGGTAGAAAAGCCAGCGACGACGAGGACGGAGGACGACGATGATGACAACAAGGCTAGCAGACAAGGCTCTGCCATGTATATATAAGAGAGCTAACAGCCCTACTTGGTAGAGAACCAGATATTTGGCTGCTTAAAGCCTGGTGAAGGGAAATTGTCCAGTCTCGAGCGAGTGTGAGCGATTGCGTGATCGAGGCCTCTGCTCTCCGAGTGGCTCTGGTGGCTCTGCGCAGTGGGTGGCGAGTAGCAAACAGAAGAGGTGAAGGCGTGCCGAATTTGAGGGTCTGCATAGCCGACACGTGCTACGTGCCAACCAAAGTCACGGGACCAAAAATGCCAAGAGCTAGGACCAGTCATTAGGTAGGGACCCCAAGGGCAGCCACAAAGGACACTTAGGGCACCAAGCACCCACAAGAGAGCCAATTACTTACCCTCATCCTTCCTCATCGCCGCCCCTCCTTTTCGCTAACCCTATGCTTGCCCTATGCCCGACGCCGTCCATCTGCGGGGCTCTCGTCCACACAATTTTTGCCTCGAACCGCCATGCGGGTGGCGGTTGTACAATAGTATTTCGACAGCCACGGATTCGCATCCACCGTTCTTCAACATTTCACGTCACTAACAACGCAAAGGATTGT